TTCCAAGGTACTGGTCTAAGTATGGTAGAAAAAGGACGATCTAGACCAGCGGTCCCCAAACTTTTTGGCACCAGGGACCGGTGCTCCTATAAGAATCTAATGCCTGATGATCAGAGGTGGAGCTGAGGAGGTGATGCTAGCACTAGAGAACAGCTGAAAACACACATGAAGCTTTGCTCACTCACCCAGTGCTCACTTCTTAGTGTGCGATCTGGTTCCTAACACGCCATAGACCAGTACCAGTCTGTGGCCCGAGGGTTAGGGATCCCTGATCTAGACCAAGTCCCCCAAGAAGGGGAGGAACTGACAAAGGAATGAATAAGCAAACACAGATGTCAATGCTGAAAGCGCTGTGATGGGGAGTCAAGTAGGGTTAAGGGCAGAGAGAGCTCGCTGGCCAGAGAGGTGATGTCACATTCCAGATTGAGTCAGGGAAAACCCCTCTACGGAAGTGATACTTGGTAGAGACCTGAATGAAATAGAAGAATGAGCAGGGCAAAGATCATAGGGTCGTGGTCTAGTCAGAAGGAAGAAGGAGGACAAGCTCCTGAGGCAGGCTTACCCTGTGTGTGTAACAGCAGGGCAGTGAGACTGGAACAGAGTAAATGAGGCTGAGAGCGGTAGGATTGAAGGTTGAAGAGAGACAGGAGCCAGATCAAATGAGTTTAGATTTTACTGAATGTGAGGAGGCCAAAAGAAAGTTGTTGGGAGCGATATGATCTGAGTTACATTTTGGCATCTTGTAGCTGTTGGGAGGTGACTTTTTTTATAGAGGGTCAAGAGCAGAAGCAGCAAGAGAAATTAAGAGGCTATTGTACTCATCTAGGTGGGAGTGTAAGGTGGCTCAGTCTAAGGTGGTAACTGGAATTTGAGAGAAGTGGTTGGAATCGGGATAAATGTTGATAATAAAGCCAACAGGATTAACTGATGAATTTGTTGTGGGGTATAAGAAAAGACAAGAATCGAGTATGCTGCTTACTGAGACAGGCCGAGCATGGGGTAATCAAAGAGCTCTGTCAGAGACTTGGTGCATTTAAGAAGTGCATTCGTCTCCAAGAGGAGGTGCTCAGTAGGCTCCAGCTTGCAGAGCATGTGGAGCTGGGATAGGAACTTTGGAGGCATCAGCATGTAGTACTTAAATCTGTGGAGCAGATGAGTGGCTAGGGCTGGAAAACAGAGAGAACACCTGTTTTGCATTTAAAGGTCGAGAAGAGGAAAAGGAGCAGGAAAGAAGAATTTTTTGAGTATCTAGTGAGCGAAGCAGAAATCCACGGAATTCCTGGTTTCGAAGGACGGGACATTTTATAAAGGGAGTGATCAGACGTGTCAGAGTCTAAAGAGGTAGGGTAACAGAGTACTGGGAACTGCCATTGGATTTGAAAACATGGAGGTCACTGGTGACTTTAAAGAGTGATTTTTTGGGGAGTAGAGGATTTTTCTGGAGCGGTAAAAGTTTGATGGGAGTGGATTGAAAAAAGGACTAAACGATGAGGAAGTGGAGACCGTGAAATGCACAACTCTTTCAAGTGATTATAACAGCTAGTTTGACAAAATCAGTTTCTTCCCTTCTTTTAAATTTTTTTAGAATAGCTAACTTAGCATCTGCTAGTGTGTAGAGCCATCAGGAAATTATATAACTAGAACAGAAAAAAGCCAGTTATTTTTCTTTTTATTTTGCCCTGGGTTAGCATGTATTTAGATCTATATGTAGTTTTCTAGATCTGTGTGTAAAATATTCAGTTATCATCACTGATGTTTACAGTAATGATCTTGAAAAGCATAATATTCTTTTAAGAAACTATGTTGACGTGCAGCCTATAAATATCTTTTATAAAATTTATCTAAGTTCATATTAATAAGACCCTCATTATTCAGTGATTCTATGTATTCACTAATCTTTTCTAGTAGGAAAGTTGGATAATGTCTTTCAGGAAGTTGTTCTTTAAGAAAGGGTTCTGTTTTAAACCAGTTAAAGAAAAGTGAATGTACCTAAGCTTTCTACTGAAGCTTTCTATAAAATGCATGCAGTTTGTCCACTAGGGGGTGCAGTAGGAATGAGAATGGAGTTCTATCTTCAAATGGCTCCCACTCTGTACTGTGATGGATAGAGCACAGCTTTGACACTGGTTCCGAAGCCATGGCATAGTTTTGCATTAAGTTGCTTCTCTTCTCCACCAACTCCCTGTTCATTGTAGAATTAAAGGCAATAAACGAACAAAAATCAATAGCATTCCATTAGGTCAGTAATGACAGAAGAGAAGGTATAATAGAATAAAATATAACATTTATAGTAGTATCAGAAACTGAAGTACTTTTGACTAAACCTAAAAATTTATACAGAGCTTTTCGGGGGTGGAAACTATAAAACTATTGAAGGAGGTAAAAGAAGACTTCAAACAATATAGGCATATGTTATGCTCACGGGTGGGAAGATGATGTATGTCAGTTCTCTCCCAATGAATCTGCAAATTCTAGGAATCCCCATTAAAATCTCAACAGGTGCTGATAAATTAATTAGGAGAGATGGATGTATTTTTGTAACTATCTCATATATAAAAATGATACATTGTCCACTTCTTGCAACTTATGTATAGTTTTTTTCTGGGGTCCAAGGAAAGAGGGACTATTTTTCATGTTCAATATGTAATCTATGCACACAAGTAATAAAATGAATGCTAACACATACAGCCTATGCCTCAGGCATACAAAACCTTCAGTTCCTCAAATTTACTAAGCTCTCTGTTGTCGCTGAGACTTTACACATACTGTTCTCTCAATTCCCCCTTCTACCACTTATGGCTAAGTCCTCGTTGCTTATCACTACTCATCCATGAGGCCTCAGTTTAGATTCCTTTCCTTCTGAGAAACCTTCCCTGGCTAAGTTTGTATCCCTCTTATCTGCCTTTATTAGAGCACATTATCCCAATCAAATAAGAGCTGTACAAATACCTGACAATGCTCTTTTTGTCTCCTGCAGGTGAGAGTGTTTAATGACCGACATTTCGTTTTAGAGAAAGCAATTACAGGAGATTTTGCCTTGGTGAAAGCCTGGAAGGCAGACAGAGCAGGAAACGTAATTTTCAGGTAGTGTCATGGTTTTAAAAAGTATTAATACAGTGTATTTGAGTGACTTTATATTTCCTTTGTATTTGATAGTTGAAAATTCACTTAAGAAATGGCTTAAAATCAAACACGTCCACATGTATGTGTATATACACGTGTGTGCAGAGCTGCTGCTGCGCAGTCTCGCTGGTATGGTGTACTCGTGGGAGTCTGATCTGATTTGTGAGCGTCCATGTTATGCTGCTTGTTAACTATTTGAATCACATAGAAATTAATTTTTCCCTGCTTATATTACTTGCCAAGACAAGTTACAATGTTGACATGCTTAGAAAACATGACAAAAGCACATGATTACGTTTAATTTTGTTATTGTTATTTACATGCATTGTCTTAAAATGCCTAAATTACTTTGATATTCTAGATTGACATTGTTAATTACTGAGGTCAGTTCTTTTCCATTCCTATTGGTATCTACTAAAAAATGCTTATGAAAGATTTTGTTTGAAAAGTTGATTAACCTTAATAATGCTAAACTTTCCTTCTCATTATCTTGATTGCCATGTATATTAAGCCATATAGGCTCAACAGATTTTGAGATCTTTTTATTACCCTGTGCATGCATGTATCTTGAATTTATAGATTATATAGTTGTTTTTTAAAAAAGTTATTCCACCTTTTAATCTACGTGTAAGTTTTTTTTTTTTTTAAGTTTTCCAAAATGTTTAGTATTAAAGACTTCACTTGTTAGGCTATAGCAATAATTTTCTTTCTCATGATATTGTCATTTAGTCCTTTTAGTTAGCAATTTTTTATCTTTATCAAATGCAGCTTTGGTGCAAACACAATTAAATTCTCAGTGATCAATCTCATGTTGTTTTTGCTCATTTTTGAAGAACATATAATGTTAATACTACATTTGATTTCTCGAATTCAACCAGTGTTTGGAATCGCAACTAAATTTAGCAATTACAAAGGACGTTTTGTGTCATGTCTACCATATTTGACACTTTGGTGTAATGTTTACAAAGTTTATTTGCTTTTTAAAAATGGAGTAATGAAATTGTATAGTAGCAAATGGAAATTATTTAAAATATTTCCATGAGTTTATCCTGTGTTCTGTTGCCTGGCTCCTGTATCTAAAGACTGCACATGGGCCATTCAAAGCACAGACCATACCTGTGGTTGAAATGAATGTTGGACTTTGATGCGAGAGCACTCATCACCAATGGTCAAGTGACCTAGATTCTTAAGATACTGACTTCTAGGACAACCTTCATATTTAGTGGGACAGGTGGGACAGAGATCTATCTAGGCCATTGTTAAAGTGAGAGAGCCCTGTGTGTCTTCACCTCTGGCCAGTCTGCCCTTGAAACTTTTGACGCTGGCTGTCTGGTGGAATCCAACAGAATAACTTGTGAAAGTACACAGGACTCTGCTCTCAAGGACACACTTGTCCTTCCACCTGTCTTTGAATCCAAGTGAAATAAACATTGGAGGCCTAAAAGCACTAGTAAAACAGCTGTGACTTATTTCCTTTTACCAAAGAAATTTTTCTATCAACTCACGCTCTCAGAAACAAAAATAAATTGAGAATCACCTTGGAAGTAAATTAATTTAGGAACTTAAGATTACAAAACCCTCAGCAAGATTGGCACCTTTTTGAAATTTTTATACCTCAAGGTCTGATGTGTGTGTCTTACTTTCAAAAGTTTTGTTGGAAATTGGTTCTCCAGAATGATCTTTATAGGTGACTCACAAATTACCAATGAATGTTTCATTTAATTTCAGCAATAAGCTTCTCTTTAATAGAGAATATAATTACTGTTCCTTCTCATGTGAAGCACTTGCTACTTTTTCTTAATTTTTTCGTAAAAATGAGTTTGGTGAAATATTTAAATACAGAAACAAAATGGCATCCTGGTTAAAAGATTTAGGGAAATTAGCTGTAAACAGATTTATTGATATCCATTTTATTTTTCCGTGTATATATAATCTATGTCAAAT